TGGAGTGGTGGCTTGATAAAGTCGCCCCATCATTGAATCTCCTATGAGGTGAATGTCTTCATGCCTCAAAGCAGCCTAAAAAAAAAGTAGAAAAAAAATCGTTTGAGGCACTTTTATTTGAGAGGGAAATGCAAAAATGTTATGGGACAGATCCTTCCACAATGTGTAGCTTCAAATGATACCAAACATTTTTACGAGAATATTCTTTTACAAAGCATAAGCATAACTTATACAATGTAGGTTTACGCCAGACCGCGTCTTGTCGTAACAGGCTTCGCGATGTCGCTGCCTGTTCCTCCAATCCGCGCCTGGCGTACCTACCTTGGCCTGCGGCGCTAGCCTGCCTTCGGCAGGCAATGCTTGTCCACCGTCGGTTAGGCCAACATCTAATTTGTTGTATGGTGGTCCCCCCCCCGCCCCCAGACCCCCCCCCCCCCCAGACCCCCCCCCCGCCCCCAGACCCCCCCCCCCCCGCCCCCAGACCCCCCTTCATTCTAGATTGCGTTACTTCATCTGCAAATTACACGATCTTGACCCTTGTAACCATTTAACTTGTCGAGGCTGGAGGGGGGGCTAGACCCTCCTTCCATCAAGACAGGAGAGATCTGCCTGCTATAAACTCGATTTTTCACCGTTTTTAGGTGTTTTTCGGCTATTAAGACTGAACCAGTTGAGCTAGGATAGTAAAATTTCGCGTGTGCCGAGCCAAGAACATACCTAATGACCTAGGTTCCGCGAGGTCCGGCTAGGTTCCGATTCTGCACGGCTTTGAGACTGAGACGACCCAGTCCCAGTAGACGTTCCAGCGGGAGGATTCAATATGCGCCGCGTGTAAATCCGGATTGGTAACGGGGGGGGGGGGGACTAAATGAGCACAACGGTGGGAGGAGAAAATTATACAATTTGCGCCGCGTAATGCTGGTTGCCGGGTTGATCGGGTAGATCAGTCGCGTGCGGGCGGGACTCCACCTGGGCCAGGCGGTCAGTGAGAAAAATTCCAATGCTATCGCATTGCACGGTGTTCCGGTTGTGGAAATCAATTTGGAGTCTGTCGTCTAAACGTTAATTACGTTAATTTTACCGTTGTTTACGTAACTTTGAATCCTACCGGTATTTTTACATCCCAAACCTGATTCAGTTAACACAATGGCCATCTCAGGCCATCTCGCGATCTCGCGACTTACAGTGCTCATGTTCGCCAAACGAAAGTCATCTGCGTTCCGAGTTTATATAATTTGTCAAACCAACCGTCGTGCTGATTACAGAATTGAGGAAAACATCACAAGAGAACCGCAACCTTTAAAAGCAAGCCAAACAATCCAACCTCAGCAACAATGGAGGGGCAGTTTCAATGCGCGACTACTCGTTTTTTCAGCCCCGCGATTTTCGAAAGGGCGCAGACGCCGACAAAATTGTTGCCAACCCCCGAAAATTAATTTATTGCGTCTTTTCTGCTACGAACTTTTTACTGACAGACTTCAAAGATGTTGCAATGTCGCGACACGGTGCAATGCGTTAGCATTGGCATTTTCGAATTTCACGGCGTTTCGATTTCTTTTTATCAGCGACTTTAAATTTTGACAGTTGGTACGATGGCACTGTGTCGTTGCCATGGAGACTTTTTTTCATGTTTTAACCATTTTCTTAGAACACAGACGATTTTTTGTCACTTTGATGAGTCAGGATGCTTAGTTTTGGGGAGTAGCACATTTTGTCTTTGAAACGTTTCTGGAAAATGTGAAGGGATAAGGGTGCTTCATTGTTGCAAATTTATGTTTTTGTCGTTTACGTTAAATTCTTACGATAAATTTTCGAAATTTTCAGGAATTTTTATTTTTTTACGATAAGGAATAATTTGGCGGAAACCATTTTTAGACTGGCGTCGGCGGAAGAAAAAAAATTTTCCGTCCCGGGCAATAGGGGGTCCTCCTTCGTCGGAACCCCTAAAAAGATCTGTCGAGAATACTCTACAAATCAAAGAGTGTACATGGTACGCTCTAACTGGAGCATGCCTGCAAGCACGCTCTAACTAGCGCATGCCTGCCAGGCATGCACTAACTAGTGCATACATGCCATGTACACGCTAACTGAAGCATGAATTTACTGCATAAGGGATAGGGAGTTTTCTGCATCAGGAAGCGTGTACTTGGCATGTATGCTCTAGTTAGTGCATGCTTGGCAGGCATGCGCTAGCTAGAGCGTGCTTGCAGGCATGCTCCAGTTAGAGCATCATACTATGTACACTCTTTGATTTGTAGAGTAGGGAAAGATCTGCCGCGAGCCCGTTAGGTTTGTTTGGACAATTCAGTTTTAGAATATAAGTACGTAGCCTTCCGTCGATTCAAGGAGAATCATTCACGCGAATGCATACTTCCGTCATATTTTACGTCCGCTGCTGTCCGCGACCCCTTCCGCCTCGTGCTGCTGGGTGTTGATGGTGTTGGGGCCGCTGCACTCGGCCTTTGCGCACCCGGTCTTGTTGACCGCGGCCGTGGTGCCGGCCTCGCTGTCCACCTCGTTGATGACCTCCTTGCTGGATCACTTGACCTGGCCGGAGGGCCGCCAGGAATGCTTGCGTGGCTTGGGCTGCTGGGACGGCCAACAACAAAGCGTTGTTCTCCATGCTACGACACAGAAACAACAAAATTCACACTTCCTGAATAACGACATCACACACATCAGTCCCTGACACCACTTTTCTTGGGAAACAATCAATCGGTTAATATATGAAACTATTTTATCGAGTTAATACACACACCTGTCCACACTTGGTCAGAGTCTGAAAGTGATGCAGCGTCTCTCTCCCCGCAACGGTTTGTTGGTTTCACAGTCGCCAACATACCGCAATATAATATCGTTGTTGGTGGGTTATCAGTGATCAGACAAGGCTGTGTTTGATATTGTATTTACACTTCGAAACAAAAATCGCAAGCTATGTTGATATAACGTTCATATTATTAAGTTTGGAAAAATGAGTGTTTTAAATAAGTTGGCAGTATTTACGGAAGCCGCCGATGGAGAGCAACTACTGGAGTCATTCTAAATTCAAATCCAAAGGTTTTCTGGTGCAGAGTCCAGTGAATTCAGCGATTTCTGTTGAGTAGGTCGGTTCTGATTTTGTAGCGAGGGTGACGTCACACTGCAAAAGACAGAGAGGGGGGCGTTCGAGGTTCATAGAGAGGGGCGTGAGGGATGGCCCCTGTGAACTGAAGGGTAGGCAGCCCACACGACGGGCGCGTAAGGTGGGTTGCCTGCGCGGGCTCTGGCACCTTGGCAGGTTTGCGCGTCCGCTTTTAGCCCTTGGTCATGCTGAAAAAGCGGACACTGATTAGATTTAAACTTCAGTTTACTGGCTATCAAAATCGCACACTAACGCATCGCTCAGCCACTACGCGCCTAAACTAAACGCCGTTTATTTGCGTAGGCTCCCGGAAGGGGAGGATTTCAGGGATGGCGCGAGTTTGAATCGCGCGGGCTAGAAAAGACGAACTGGCGACACTGTTGCTTAGCTTGCGATTCTGGGCTTCGCCAGCTCGCGGGTAGCGACACGCAGTGTCTGGGCCTTCGACAGCACCACAATGCGTACCCCTAGTTTAGTGTCGCGGACATCCACAATTTCTTTGAAGCCTCCCACGCGAAACAACAGGTGCAAACGCATGCGGGGAGGCGGAAAGGGTGATCCTGGCGACGACGGAGCCTACGGCGAGGGCGAACGAGGACGAGGATCCTGATGAGGACCTGGAGTCTGTTGTGGAGCTGGCTGACATGGACGCAGGCAAGGCAGTGGTTAGTCCGAGGGAGACGAACTCAGTGAAGGGGAGAAGAGAGAGAAACGGCGCGCGCGCACTCCTTCGCCACCTCCAGTGCAACAGCATCTGCCTAATCTACGGCCTCAGCCAGCATAACGTGTGCGCTATACGCGAGCACGAGATAGAGAACAGGAGCAACAGCATCAGGGACCGCGGAAATCGGTTCGTAGAAGGTAAAACGGACGCGGACGCTGACTACTGCTTTGTCTGGCCACGCCATAAGACTCTAGAACCAGAACCTAGGATTACGATTTTTGGATTGTCACATTTCAGTTTGTATTTGTGTGTTCATGGTATTGACCTTTTCCCAGTTTGTGAATGTCTGTGACAGATATCTGAATGACAGTATTTCAACATTTCATGGGCGCACGTTCTTATTCCATTTTCCCTGCAACCCCAGACGCTATAACTGTAAATCCTAAACAAAACTATCAATTTTTCCATGTATCTTTCCAAGCCCGCTCATTTTTCGGGAAACTTTGCATTTGTTGTACTTTGAAAGTACCATCAATTCCTGTTCAAAAATTTGTGAGGAATTTTTTTAACTTTTGTTGTGGTTTTTTTCTTGCAGTGTTCTGCGAGGGTCAGTGTGACTGCAATCCCTGGCCACGCTGCAACTGGCCCTTTAGCGCCGGACCCGAGGGGTCAACCACTCACCTCAGGAGGTGTACACAGGATTACTGATTACCAGTGATTACCTACAAAACTACCCATAAAAACTCTTTAATTTTTGCCAGCTAAGAGCATTTTGGCCTCTTTTCGTGAAAAAAAAAAAACAGAATCCGTTAAAACCGGCGAAAATAGCCAGTTTTGGCGTGGGATTACCAATGATTACTGGACGAAGTGTGCACACGATTACCAGAGTGCTTGACCCCTCGGCCGAACCATACCGTTTGAAGACGGCCCCCGAAGCGACACGGCGCAAACGGTTTGTCCCCAGAGCACCGATCACATCCGCTTGGATTGTACAAGGACCCTCTACTTTTAGCGTAAGAGGGGCCATACTCAGATTTTCTTCTGCACCCTCCACTTAAATAATTAAACGCATTTGTTACGAATCGCCCCACAGACCGTTCTATTTTTCGTGGTCACGTTACGAACACCCTCCATTTCGAGTGATGTCCCCCCCTGAAATGAGGTTCAATCCTCGCAAGTTTAGACCCATTCAAAAGATAAAAACGTGCTCCGTTATTCGAGCCATACTGATTTCTTTATTGCAACAACCCGTGGAAAACAGACGCTCTCACTCTCGGGCCATCGGTGGCGAATCAACGGGTGCTCAGAGGCTTGGCCAGAGAGGCAACGATGCACGTTTTCGCCTGAGCGACGAGCTTCGCAGCGATTTTCTTTCCGGTGAGGCAAGGCGCGATGAAGTCGGCCAGGGACTCCTTGGGGTAGCCCTTCTGGGCCTCGATGAGCGCGTCGTTGCGGCAGTCGGCGGCGGGGCTGGAGCCTTTAGGCTCCACGATGCTAGACTGGCACGCCTTGATGCGGCTGCCGATCTCCTGTTGCTGCTTGGTGGAGTAGGTCACCTGCAGGGCAAGGCAGCCGGGCCAAAGCATAATGGTTGAACGGTTCAACTTTTATTGAATTGTTTCTGAGCATGGTATTGTAGGGTCAGTGCGTGTAAAATTAGACAGGGGAAGAACTGAACACCCCATATTTTACTTCAAATGCCCTATGCATGCACACCATCATGTAATGAACCGCGAATGCCACGGAACAACTTTTGATGGTCGTTTTGCCTGTGCATACGCACTCTAAAGATTCTCCATATTATGGTAAAAATTCTCCGTATTATGGTGGTGCAGCTGACGTCGTAACTTACAGTTCAAAATTCATCGTACATTACAGATATTCTGTCGAATTTCTTTCGTATTATGGTGAAAATCTCCACCATAATATGTTGGTGCGGCCTTTCGCCGTAAGACATTTAGATAGAGTGCGGTATTTGGAGTAAAGCATGGGGTGTTCCGTTCTTCCCCGCACTGACCCTAAGTTTCAACTATGGACGGAGTAAAATAGTGCATGTGAGCCCGTGACTTGCATCACCGCCACCTCACCTTCTTGAGCGCAGGCTTGACGGGCTTGGCAAGGGACTCGGTGAGGCACTTCTTGGCGGTGGCCACGATGCTGGCCTTCACGGGGTTCCTGTAGTTCAGCAGGCACGAGGCGATGAACGCGGCCTGCGTCTCCTTGGCGTAGACGCTCCTCAAGTTGTCCCGGGCCTTGTACATGCAGTCGGTGGCGGGGTTGCTGAAGCCGCCCTGGGGCACAGGCTTCAGGCACACCGAGATGCGGCCCACCAACTCGTCGATCTGGTTGAAGGCGTAGTTGGGCTGCGACAAAATGTTCATAACTTATAGTGCATTTATTTCTGCAACCTTTCTGTTTTATTCAACTGCAAACTTTAAATGCTTCAATTTGCCCAATCTATTCTATTTTTCATACTTTTCAAACAGAAAGGCAATGAAAATAAAAAGAAGTTTGTCTTTACAATGTTTAATATTTTCTCGCCTTTAGAACCCTAGTTTTATGCTAAGACAATAAGTGTTTTGAAATTTTTGTAGAAGGTTTACATTTTAAAACGGTGCCCACCGTTTGTGACAGCCATTTAATCAGTCTTTTCAATAGGGTCCAAGCAGAAAGTTCGAAAATCATGAAGGAAAGAGCCTAAAGTGCTACTGACCCCTCAACGGTCGCAAGAATCGAGACCTTTGGCTTGGGTCCACTATATTTCTCTAGTTAAGGGCAATACCAAGAAAAACAAATTGTACGGCAAGTTTGTCGGCTCGCAAGAAAGTGGCGTCGCGTACAAATTTTGAACAGAAACATTCAGGGTGCGTGGTCGTTTACTCACGGCAGCGTAAGCGGCCGCCCCAAGGGCCACGACGACGAGGAGAGTGCGGAACATGTTGCAGCAGCGTCGGCTGGGCGAAGACTGTACACAACAGCGGACCTACTGGCTTTATAGGAGACCCACGATGCGTGGCGTGGAATGCGTCTAGCATGACAAGAACTTTAGAAAGCGCACGTTTTTTCAAGTGAAATGTGATGGCGCACCTTACAATTATTGAGAAGTGCACGTTCGTGAATGTATGCCGCATGGAGGCTCGTGCCAATGCAGCTTTTTAGAGCGGCGAGCGCGCTCGCCCACACAGTAAACAGCATGCACTGCAAGCAGAAAAGTGGATAGTTCAACTTAAGTACAAAGGCGAAAAAAACGAGGATCGTAGTAAGTACAACACTGTTAAGAGAAGTCGTTGTTTTACAACATGTCGACTACAGTTTCCTTCTCAGCAAGGTTCTATGACCGAACGGCGATAATAGATTACAGAACAAGTAAAAATGAGAACAACGTTTGATGTGCAACCTTGACAAACTCAGAATGCTCGTTTCCTCATAAACAAATAAATTTGTTGATAAATGATTATTATGACACTGCAGAACATGCAGACGAATCGTAAACTTAAATTTTCGTCATATTGTTTCCGTAAGTTGACGCTGGCGTCATGAAAAGGAATTAGAAGGCGAAGCCCCTGGAATGAACATTCCTGACTAGTTTTACACCTACTTTCAGAATCTGGACGGCGCTCCTCAATTTTTGGAACTAAAAAAAAAAGTGGACCACCCTACACTCGACCAAAAATGTCCTGTAAATGCCGTTAATTTATTACCAGTTTTCACTGTAGGTCAATTCACAGCGTTTGCTGTGAACTAGTTCACGGCGTTCACTGTGATCTCGGTTACAGTGTTCACTGTGATCTGGTCCCCAGTAAACACTGTGAGTTTGACGCCGCTGAGCACCGAAGTACTGCAAATCAGGCTCCAATTCACGGCGTTTACTGTGGCCAGATCACAGTGAACACTGTAACCGAGATCACAGTAAACGCCGTGAACTAGTTCACAGCAAACGCCGTGAATTGCATAACAGCAAACATTGGTAATAAATTAACGGCGTTGACAGGACATTTTTTGTAGAGTGTAGCCCGCGCCCCCACGCCGCCTCGCCGCGCCAGTCCCCACTCCTCACAGCCACCCCCTCCCTCCTTGCCCCCTCCCTGCCCGGCCTCCCCGGCCGGTTCACGGCAAGACCGCTTTGCTAAGCTTGCCTTGGCGGAACTTTTTATAGTGAAAAGAAGTGCTGGAACTACGAATCACCTAAGGATATACCTTCACGGAAAAAAAGAATTAGTTGTTCCAACCTATGTTTCGGTTGGTTTTGGCCCAACTAAGATATTTTGTTCCAGTAACGAAAATTGCGTTCGAAGAGCGAAAAATTTGTTAGTACAGCGGAAAGTTCGTTGCAGCAGTGAATTCGTTGGTTGGCACGACCGAATTAAGAGTCGGCTACTGCAACGATCCAATTTGCTGCTGCAACGATGGATTCGTTGAGGCAACAAACTTTTCTGCTCTTCTAACGAAATTTTCGCTACTGTTACGGAACATCTTAGTTGGGCCAAAACCAACCGAAGCATCGGTTGGGCCAACTAAAATTTGGTTGGACTGACTAAGTATTCTTTTCCGTCTTTTAAGCTTTATAACGGTCCAATACCCGAAACAGTTCAATGTAGCTCGGGCTGCCTAGGGGAGTGGAGGGGGAGGGGAAGGCGGTGGGCGGAGACAATACCGGCCGCAGGTAGCGGCGAGCGAGGCAGGCTGTCCGTCACAAAGACGTCACTCAGGCCGGCCGGCCTGCACGTAGTTCCTGTACTTTCCACCGCGCCACCTTCCAGCGCTCCGGCAAACGACCGCCAGGTTCAAAACGGGGAAAATGAGGCATAAACAGGGTCTTTTTATTGCAGTTCGATCTCAAAAAGTACTTGTCCTAGGGAAAAACGGTTTACAGCATATTGAAGGGAACATCAGGGCCCAGGGCGTCGGGTGTATGGCGGCTCTTGAAAGTGGTTAGCTGCATCCGATATAGTCCGGTGAACAATGGCCTCAAAATTGACGACTTTGAACATCGAATTTTAACGTCTAAATATCTTTGCACAAACTTCCCACATATCCGCCGACCTAGATCTCGTCGCCCGATTTACGTATCTGCCATTATTTTTCCTCTAGGACTTCTACTTTTTGAGATCGAACTGCAGTAAATTTGAGGTTATGAAAGTTCAATAACTTTGTTCAAAATTGAGCCAGGTCAAAAAAACTTTGTGGCTCGCCTCCCTGTGATGTCCCGAATACGTGTGCAAATTTTTAGACTGATCCGACAACTTCAATTTGCGTATCCTGCCGCCTTAAGGGATGGACTATTGCCCAAAATCGTGGCCGGTTGTTTTTTTTGTAAGTGGAACTCTGTTTGATTTTTTGCGGTGTTGCAGATCCCAGCTTAAAATTCCACCTGGAATTTCCTCTGGATTTCCTTGTTTCCATCTGGATTGCTCATATCCATATGGGATTTATATTTTCCAGCTGGAAAGGGTCATTTCCATACCAGGCTGCTGTCTGGAAATAAGGGTTCCAGATGGAAATTTTTTTTCCATAAGGGTTTGAGTAACCCAGAATGGAAATTGTATTCCACTGTGGAAAGTCTGATTTCCATAGCGAGATTTCCACAATGGATTTTACTAGAAATCCAGGATGGATTTTTCATTTCCAGACTGGATTTTGTAAGCTTTGTCCGCTAGGTAGCGCTTATGCTTAGGAAAAACAGAAATCCAAGGTGAGAGTGTCATGTGAAGATGCAATCGAGGAGGTTTGTGAAAATGGTACTGTTTTGTTGTGGGATGAGGCGGTCGGGGACTCAATGTCTGAGTCTGAGTCATTCAATTTCATGAGTGGTTTGGTTCGTGCCACGCTGTTGGGTAGGCCAGGCGAATCATTAATGTAGCACGCAAGAAAGTTGAAGCATCTGTTCCTCTTATTATCAAAGTGAATCGACTGAAATCTCGTTCTAGTTTACAATGTGTGATATCACGTTGGATACGACACTTTGAAACATTAAATTGTTTCATATGCATTCGGACTGCTGTAGCTGCAACGAAGTGAGTGAGATGCATTCGACGTCCAATCGCGCGTTCAATGCGTCAAATTTCTACCACACCCTCAGATTCTTATGATGAAAGGGCCATCGTAACATACGTTGAAATGAGAACATACGTACTACAATAAAATTCATGCATAATACGATGAAATTCATGCGTAATACGATGATATACATGCGTAATACGATGAAATTCATGCGTAATACGATGGAAAATTAAGCATATTAAGCATGTTCAAATTTATGCGTACCTTACGATGAAAAACCATCGTAATACGTATAAAAACGATCATAAGATGTTGAGTGTGCAGAACACAGAAAACAAAACGGAAAACCTTAGCATTTGATAGAATTTTAATCACTTGATCACGTGGAACCTAACCTAAATCAGTAACCGAAACAACTTTGCAACGAAGCCCAAAACAATCACTCGAAGACAACCCGTGTCGAATACGATCAGATCATAGAATTATAACGAAGTCAAGAACTCAAAAACCATTATAACACGATAAAGAAGGCAGGCGCCGCCGCCAGCACCGTCACGCGTCGAACTTGATGCGGTTGAGTGAGGTGGTGTTTTCCCAGATGAGGCCGGACACGCAGTAGCAGTCCGGGCCTTCCATGCCGAAGCACTCGCCCTGGCAGCCGCGTCCCTCCAGACTGCGCAGGCCGGCAGTCACGTGACCGAACACCTTGGCGCGCCCGGCGTCGCTTACGGTGTGCCGCGCGGCCTGGAGGTGCACCTGCAGGCTGCCGTCGACGAGCAGCACAGTCCCGGCCGGCAGCTCCTGGCCGTCCTCGCTGTCCTGCAGCTTGCCCACCACCCCGTCGCCGACGTCGAGGCCACATTCGCTGGTGAAGACGCCGGTCTCGCCGTCGAACTTGAGCTGCACGTCCTCGAGGGCCGCGCAAAGGGCCCTCTTGTCCTCGGCGGACAGGGTCTTGGTGACGGACAGCGTGATGGAGACGTCCCCGCCTCTGAACTCGAAACCGCAGTCACCGCCACCCGGGCAGAAGGCCTGCAGAACAAGAGTCATTAATTCAAGTACCAATCATTACACTCCAATTTTAAGTTGTTTCTTGTGCACAGCTTTGCACGCAATGGAGCGTACCGTTTTGAAATGCACGAGTTCGTGCACTTTGACACTTTGTTATTGAAAATAATTTTACAAAGGAAATGAGTCATGCTTACTTAGAAAATAGTATGTATAGTGCACTGGTAGAACTAAAGCGTAGTATTACCCTCTCTTTTCAAGCGTGATCAGTTTACGCTTGAAATCTAGCTTAACAGGCTCATCCGCCAAAGTTCCCCCTATGTAAGTGCATATAGGAATTTCCAGAGTATGCTTTATTTCAAGCGTAACGTCTTCAAGCGTCTATGCTTGATTCAGACACGGAGTTACGCTTTAGTGTTACAAGTGAATCCTTTGCTTAAACGGATTCGTAAGGGAGGGTGGGGCAGTTTGAAACAGGGGCAGTTTGAAACAAACACTTATATTAAAGCAATGAGGGCTGCCGAAGGAAATGTGAGTGTGCACAATCTTCTATTTTCATGATCTTACTGATTTGCGATCGACACGGTCGTCAACGGTGCACTTTAGTGGCCTTGGAAAAGAGGTGAAACTTCGGTAACATTGAAATTGGCCTAAACTTAAATTTCGAAGTCACGGGAGTTTCCGTCTGGGTTTCGCTAGTAAGCGATCATGCCCCGCGCTTTTAATTCATCTTTTAGTACCTTATTAGGCAATCGTAACGCACCCTTGGACACTGACGTAGCCCTCACCAAGTCCGGCGGGGAGCAGCGCAACTGGAATGGTGCCGTCTGGGGCAGTTTGAAACAGAAGTGGATGGGGCAGTTAGAAACACAGCAATATCACTGGGAAAAACGTTTTATATTGTGGAAAGCGAGTATAATGATGGAAGTTCGTAATTCCAGATGGCATCAATGGAGACGTCGTATGTTTGATCCGTGACTTGCATCAAAATGCAAAATTTACTGACTGTTGTATGTTGTAAACTTTGCGGGTCGAAAACGGCCTTTATTTCAACTCAAAAACAGTAATGTGTGTTAACAACTTTTGTTCGTCTCTCTGAGACAAATCCATTGCCATACAATTTTTTAAAAAATTGGCATTTTGAAAAAAGTGCTTTTTTGGCTTTTAAATAATTATTAAAAATGTTGAAAAAGTTCGTCAAAATGTCAGCACTTGCATGGCAACGTCTATTTGAGTCTATTTGAATCTATTTGAGTTGTGTACGCGGCTCTTCTTGGCCCGTGTTGACTTCCATACAGCTGTTTCAAACTGCCCCATCGCTGTTCCAAACTGCCCCGGTCTGGGGCAGTTTGAAACAGATGCAAGGGTTGGAGTTTCATCTTATTATTAACGTTGAACGAACTTGTGAGCGTCTGCGGGCGTTTTCTAGTCTAAATAACGAGTCATTCTAGTAATCTAGTGCAAACACGCAGCATATAGACCAACAGTACGATTATAATAACGAAATTCCAAATTCTGTTTCAAACTGCCCCACCCTCCCTTACTAGATGAGAAAGAAGTTAGTGACGGGCTAAGAGTATACACTCTAAATGTCTTACTATGAAATTTGACCTTTGTTATTCGTAAGTTACGGTGAATTCGGCGCAAGCATATTATGAAGCAACATTTCTTAGTAATAGGAACGAGTCTTTTCAGCTTTTTCATTGTGAGATACAAAGAAAAATCTTTCGTAACGAAGAAAAACCACCTTCGTATTATGGGAAATTTCTTTGTAAGACATTTAGAGTGTAATTTTAGGATTGAAAATTTAAGATTTTAACCCCACCTGCACGACGGGTAGGCTGAGTGGGCGCAGGCCGGCGCGTGCGCGGCCCTCGGTCAGCGCGTGCCGCCGCGCCCGCACTCGCGCCAGCACCCTTTCCAGCGCCTCGGCCTCGGCCAGCGCGCCCTTCCTCGCGCCGTCGAAGTCCTGCAGGGCGTGCTTCTCGGCCCGGCAGGCGTCCCGCGGCTCGCACCAGCAGTCCACGCACCAGTCCCTCCTGAGCACAGAGAAAACGGTGTCATAAAAAAACTTTCTCATAAAAGTCGCGCGCTGTAGGCTACGAAAAGAGGCTACGAAGCACTTGCTTTGTAACTACACCCTAAATGTTTTTGTATGAATTTTGTGCGAGACATCACAGTTTTAGAAGCACACGAACTTTTCGTACAAATTTGTACGCGGTTTCGTACACAAATGGGGAAATATGTGCAGCTTTTCGCACAAAAATCGTACACACTCAACATCTTATGATCGTTTTTTTACGTATTACGATGGTTTTTCATCGTAAGGTACGCATAAATTTGAACATACTTAATACACTCTACAAAAAATGTCCTGTCAACGCCGTTAATTTATTACAATGTTTGCTGTTATGCAATTCACGGCGTTTGCTGTGAACTAGTTCACGGCGTTCACTGTGATCTCGGTTACAGTGTTCACTGTGATCTGGCCACAGTAAACGCCGTGAATTGGAGCCTGATTTGCAGTACTTCTGTGCTTAGCGGCGTCAAACTCACAGTGTTTACTGGGGACTAGATCTCAGTGAACACCGCGAACAAGATCACAGTGAATCCCGTGAGCAGATCACAGTAAACGCTGTGAATTGACCTACAGTGAAAACTGGTAATAAATTAACGGCATTTACAGGACATTTTTGGTAGAGTGTATGCTTAATTTTCCATCTTATTACGCATGAATTTCATCGTATTACGCATGTATCATCGTATTACGCATGAATTTCATCGTATTATGCATGAATTTTATTGTAGTACGTATGTTCTCATTTCAACGTATGTTACGATGGCCCTTTCATCATAAGAATCTGAGGGTGTACAAAAAGTTGGTGTGCACAAAAAAAACTGTGATGTCTCGTGCAAAATTATACAGAACATTTAGTGTGTTCGAAGAAAACGAAGGCATTGTGCTTCGTATTACGAAAGATTTTCCTTCATGGTAGAACGCATTTCATTGCATTTCACAATGCATTCGTTTGAATCTTATGACGAAGCGATGCTTCCTTCACTTGAGTATGTGCTCACGCAATTCTGACACATTTTCAGTCTCACATGGATTTTATATTCTCTTACTTTCAATTTTTTTTTTGAGCAGACGTAAATTGTACTGTTTTGTCTTTGATCGGTTTGAGGCTTAAATTGTCAATAGGTCATGTAAAAATCTGAAAGTACACTGCAATTGACAAAAAGTCCTGGGAGTACAAACTATACACATATCCGTAGATGTGCTTGAATACAGAAACATGCTTATCAATTTTAGATCATTTAACTGAAATGCCTTCATTACTCAAGATTTTCACCAACTCTCCTAAACTTACTGCACTGCATGGGTGTGCCAACTACATCAACAAATGTTTTGATCACATGCTTTTTCAAACACTAACTTTGATATTGGCATCAATTGATAACGAAAGTTGTCACAGCGCAGTGAACAAGGGCAAGCAACCGCCGCAAACTTCATTGTTTTCTCGCAATGCACAAAGTTCTAAACTACAGAGGAACAGAGAATTCACTGAGAATGAAAAAGTCGTGATCAATACCCAATTTTGGGCGAGGTTTACTTTCTCACCCAAATTTGGGTAATAAAGAATTCCTCACCCAAAATTTTAGTCATGATCAGGACTCTTTCATTCTCAGTGTTTTCGTTCCCCTCGCATGTAACTTACGGCCCCATTCTCTGCAGGTTACTGGAGGACGGCGCGCTCGCTGCTACCTTGCTGCTCTGCCTCTGCATCTTGAAACTCCTTGGGTAGGTAGAGAACGGCACAGAGTTCACAACCTTGAACACCAAAATTTAACATGACACACTCAAGTCAGTTTCACAAAAATCAACTCTTGGGAAGGTTCCGTGGTCTGAAAGTGATCAATAGACCTTTCCGGGCTAGCAACTTGTCCAGTATACTTGGATCTTTGCGCCGCCACATTTAAAGATCCAGCTCATTTGTGGTAAATCGGAAATGAACTCGGTGTCTACTGGAGTATCAACAACGAGTTTAATGCCATTTCGCTGCAAATAGATTGGGTCTTACAGTGAGGCGGCGGAAAGATTCGGTTATTGCACAAGAAGCTTAGCCCGGAAAGGTCTATAGCGGAGGACGGGCTGTGGGCTCGTGGACTCTACATAAATGGGGAGGGGCGTTCACAATGCCATGACAAAGTGATACGCAATTTGTGCTACGCCCCTAGTAGTATATGGACCGTCCTTGCCCCAGCGTAACGTCAGGAAGAACTTATCGTCAAAGGGACTTCCAGGCCCTGACTATAATAGTTCTTAAATTTTCAAATCGGATGCGTGGGCCACTGTCAGGTGCAAATCTTAACCTGCTTCTGTTTTGCCAATACGGGATTGGCACCTTAGCGACAGTGTTCTGTTGGCGTGGCGGCAGTGCCCAAGAGAGGACGTCAGTACTACTAACCAGCAGTCAAAATTTGTTTGTGCGATACCATCAATTTCCTTGGCTGACTATACTTTCTACCTTGGTCGGAGGCCTTGGTCGGCCTCTCCATCTGCAATCCTAACGGGCGCACTCAGTATGGTCCAGAAAAACACCTCTTCTAGGGGACTATCTTAACATGCTAGATTCAATCTCATGAACAACATATCTAATCATGGAGCGACCAAATTTTCACCTAGGGGCAGGTGTGGTAATTCTGGGACACGTGGTAAAAATGGGACAGCTAATTCTTGGTCAAGAATCGAGATTTTAAACCTTGTGCCGTAGCAAATGCTACGTTTTCAATGAGAACATCACATTTGGTATGTCGTGCGTTCAAAAATGTCAAATCTTGACTATGAATCAACTGTCCCATTTTTGCCCCGTGTCCCTTAATTACCCCAACTGACCCGATTGAAATTGAATGATGCCCGAACAGGTTTGACAGACAGTGGGAACACTTGGACGCGGAACGTGTGGCTCGCTTCACTACACGCAGTGCCGGACTCTCGCTTGAGGCGAAGAGCATCATCGACCGCCGCTCACCGGTACTGTGCGCCAGGTTTCGGCAATCGACGATCAGGTGAGTAATCGAATCAAGATCAACGCGGCGGTAACGGCGACTGATTGCCACACAGCGGAGTGAATTGATAAATAGGTTACTCCATTAGATCCTTAAGATCCGGAAGAAGAACAAAAGTAAGCCCTATGAATGGTCCTCCCCCATCAGGTGAGCATGCGCATAGGCTAATTAGGGCCTACTCTTGTTCCTTTTCTTCCGTTTCAAGATTCATTGGAGTACCCTAAGCATTGCATGATCTATCATAACATCACAAACGCAGTAATCGGTTATTCCGGCGAAGACCGGAAACGAAATTTGAGAAGAAATGAACCAAATCAGAGAATGCTAAATTCGCGAGGATAGAGTAGTACTTCAAACGAGATCTGGCCCGGATGCATGAAGAACTTAAATGGAAGTAAGAAATGGCATTTCTGTGGCCCATCAGGAACCGGCATTTCTTATTTCCTTCTTTGTTCCTCCTGCCTAGAGCTCCTTTGGAGTATTTTATTGAGTTCGCGTCGCGGTTTTGCTGCTCATGCACGTTCTCCCAAAACGTCTTGCTTTTGATCTTGCTTACTGCTGAACTGCTCAACTTCCGTTCAAGGTCTGTCCCGAAGTATCTCAGTAGAAATTACGTCTAGGTGACACGCAGGGGACACGTATCAGTTTTACTGTAGTTTCCGGTGTTTCCCCCTCTTTGCCCTTCTTCAACAGTCTTCAACTTCCGGAGGTTTATCATCCTGTCAGGCATTTATCTTATAGTCAACCGAAGTTTTCGAAGGTGTTTGCCTCTTATCAATATGGGGTACTAGTTAACGGTTCAACGACATTGATTCATACCCCAATAATTTCGTTATACCGTATACGGATTCCGAACACTGCTGTCACAACAGTATTGGACCTCAAACATTTGAGTAATGACGTGAAACTTTCGGTGTGAAGTTCTGGCTTTCAGGCCTGTTTCACAAGGAACAAGGAACTCCGGGGCAGCCTATGATCGCAAGAAATGGGGTCTGATACGGAACTTACGATGAAACTGTGTTGTGTCTCCGTGGGTCGTAGACCGGAAGTTCAAGGTAGTGGACGATAACTTGACGTGGAAATGCTGAAGTAACGCTGAGAATAAGTATAGCGCCCTGGAGGGCACTTCCGAAAGAGGCAGGAACGGAAGTTGGGAACACTCCACGTGTTCTGTACTTTCGCTACCAACTTCAGCTCAGTGCATTACGAAATCAAGTGACAAAGTCGTTATCGGCTTGAAAATTTGACAGTGTGGTGGCAACAGGGAAAGCCGCCTTTCGAAGCTTCAGTGAGGCATTTCGTATCGCGAATTTCATTCAAAGAATTGTCCGTGAAGGCTTGCAGAGGGAGGTGCGGGGGAGGTGGGCGGACGTCGTCTATGCGACGTGCGCTTTGTTGTCCAAAAAACGGTTCAGCTTTACGTATCGTGCTACAGACGGCGGAATTGTCCGTAATGGAAGAAAATGGGAAACTAACCCTGAAATTTTTGTGAAATTTTCTTCCTGTTTTCTCAATATTTTCCCAGTTTTTCAACTTTTTCTAACTTTTTTATTGTGGTAGAAAGAGTGTGAAGCCAAAGAAACCTGTATCTCTATCTTACTACGGATGCCAAGTGGCCAAGGATTGCGACATTTAAAGATGAAATAAAATTTTAAATCGCTACAAAATCTGAAAGGTTAAGTTGGGCGAAAACAATTTGCAGGGCGACTCAGGGGGTCATCCTGTCGGGTGGGGGGATGTTCTGCTGTGGTATTACCCTAAGGTGTTTTCGACCGGCTCAAAAAGAAACGTTCCTTTAATGTTGTCCATGAGGACCAGGGGGTGGAAAAGGGAAACGGGTCTGATTTAGCGGGCCTTGGCTGCGGCGATGCGTCCACGGCCGTTTTCGCCTTTTTTACCGCTTTACCCCGTCCAGCCGAAGTAGTTTTCTTACGGACAAACCCTCATCGCGTACTTAAAGAGCAAGGTTGAAGGATCAGCACAGCAAGGAAGCTCCTTTGGCCGACTCGATACTTCCAAAATGAGGTATTCACATTTTTGTAACTTGTTTACCCCTTTTTCGGCATTTTCTGGTCCGCCCGAACGCGGACGAGCCAATTGAAACAAGTTAAACATGTCAACGACTCGTCAAGTAGGCATCAAATCTTCAATACGGGCTTATTTTCCTGCATATAATGTCAACTTTAGCTAGAAAGTGGGTTTCCGGGAACCACGAAAAAACAGCAAACAACGGCCGTGCACGCATCGCCGCAGCCACGGCCCGCCAAATCAGCTCCGTTTCTACCCTCTGTCTTGACACACCAAATTTTTACTGTGTGTTGGCGGAAGGTTGGCGATGCACTCGCATTCCAGGAACTTGGCATCAAGTTGAACATCATATATGTAATGTGCATATGTGCACATTTGCCACGTTCCTTTGGATGTGAATGAGCCATAAACGAGACTATTCACATTCCAACGAACGTGGCACAGAGCTGACATCCTTGTCTCATGCGTTTCGACGTGATATCTTGTTCCTGGGATGAGAGTGTCATGTCTCTGCTGACGGCGGTGCGTCCGCTGACCTTGCACTGGCGGCCGTGCTCCCCGCTCACTGCGCCGCGAGGCCTCGGCAGTTGGCCTTCGGCGCTGCTGGAGAGTGGCTGCGACGTTACTGCCGCGCGCTGGGCAGGCGTGGTCTAAATCACAGTTCTTACGTAATCTCCTAAGTCAGCGGCGCTATTTCGTTTAGAGCTTTGCGCTGTCAAAAGTTCATGTACGGAGCGCAAACACGGCAAAAGCTGTATGTACTCCTTAGGGTTCAAGAGTGAATTTCACTTCTTCACGGCGGATGTTCTTGAACTTCACCCTTCCTTTGTCTGTTTCAGAGAAACCTTTTGGGCGAGTTGGCCATGGATCCAATGGGGCATGACACGAAGACAGAGTTCTTTTTGAACTTTCCGGAAGCTCTTTCATCGGTCGAGATGAGGAGGAAGGTGAAATCGACGGACGGATATGTGAACTGGGAAGTAGTCTTGCACATGGTGCCTCATGCTTCCCGCACTGGCAAAGGTGTGCTGCTGAACTTGGAGGCGGTAGCCTTCAGCCCCAATTCCCTGCGTCCGTACACGAAGAAGTTTGTGTACGCCTCGTGGTTGCTCAAGTCGAAAGGAGCACCTGACTTGTGTGACAACTGCCGAAGGGCAGGCTATACAGCCTGTGGCGAGGGCTACGACTATTGCGACCGGTCTGTCGGGCAAATCTTCCGCAAGCGGTCCACGGGCATGTCTGTCACCAGGGTTGAAAGCACTCTGACTCTGGCCGAGGGACCCCTATGCAACAACTTCCTTTTCAAGATGAGCAACGTGGAGGTCGCCGACTCCAGCTTCGGCACTGGAACGCACGACGGAAGAACTTGCCGCTTCCTCGTCATCGAGGTGACCCTGCGCCACTTCAAGAGCGACGAGGACGTGGGGGCACCGAATGTACAGGCGGCAGCGTCCATTGTCTCCACGAACCTCCAGGTAAGACGCCATCGTGATTGTAAGTAGCCACGCTCACGCTCCACGCGGTCTTTCGCACTTTCTTGTATTTTCTGCTTGGTAAAAACGGTTTCTGGCTTTCTCAGGCAGCCTTTGTTAAACACACAGGTGGTTTCAAGGTGGGCCCGCCTCTTAACTGTAATTCTATGATACTTTTACTACACGGTCAAAACGGAACCTGGTTTTGCCAGGAACTCCCTGGAAATCGCCTATGCCTTCACCATTGGCCTCCTGGGGAAACCAGGTACCGTTTTTACCGTGTACAAATTTTTACGATGAGAGTCTGCGATTCCCACGATTTATCGCAACTTGGAGTACAATAATTTAGTCGTTGCATTATTTTGTAATAACCAGCCCTTATTTTTTGCGATGATAGAGCCTTTTTAGTCATTTCCATCTTAACTGTTTTGTCAAAACTTTTTATTTGATTTTCTTTGTAGACATTATCGCTAAATACTTCAATTGCAACATTTTGCTATATTTTTTTATTGCTGATTTTCAGTATTCATTTTTGCCAAACACTGTGTTAAGTTTTTATGGCAAAAGATGTACAGTGGTTAGAGCAGTGTGAATAACAGTGTGGGAAACCCAGGAAACGTTTTTGCCAACGACCGGTGACAACGTTGTCTAGTTCCAGACTGGCTGGGGGTTCCTCAGACTAAAATGATGTATTTGGTAATTTTGCACTCAATTTAGCCATATCCTTTATCCCCACTTACAAGCGTTTGACTAGACTTATAGGAGCGTTTTTCAGCTAAAATATCAAAGAGTAGGAGTGAGTGTGAGTGTAGGCGGGAATTAAACTGGACGCAAACAATGAGTGCAAGAGGTGGCAGGCCCCTTGTATCCGAGTTTTGTGGGCTATTCGTTTGTCAATACTTGACTCACTCTAAAGGTCTTATGGTTCAAGTTCTCCATATTATGGTGAAAATTCCCCAAATTATGGTGGTGCAGCTGACTGTAACTTGTCTCTGTAAATTAACTGTACCTTACAGATATTTTGACGCCTTTCTTTTGCATTACACTACAAACAACTTTCTACTTAGTACACACTTACAAAAGCATGATTGCATGTAGAACACACTTATGCTGCTTATGCCTATGCTCAGCATTGGAGTTATGCGGCGCCAAGCATGCGTTTGTAAGAGTGAACTGGTCAAATGCATTTGTAAGTGTGAATTAAGTAGGCAGTTAGGTTTGTAGTGTTTTGAGAAAATGTCCACCATATTATACTGGCACTCGTGTTCATTTTGTCAGAATGTCAGAAACCTGTGTGAAATCCTGATTAAAATTCGCCCAGCTCTTAAAGCTGAAAACTTGTTTTGGCATTCTGTAGAACACAGGCCATCAATATCAGAATAAGTTTTCAGAATCTCAGTTTTTAGAGGTGGTCGAGTTTCGACCAGGGTTTCAGAAAAACATGTACACAAATGGGTGCAGCGTTTCACTTTCCGACATTCAGAGTGCTCCCAGTGGTATACTTGTGGACGTGTGGCTGCACGAGAACCCTCAGCCCACTTACTTTTTCTTAGTAGCGGTCTTAATAGTTAGTAATTGCAAATATATTCTAATTTTTTCCCTTTCACTTTCATTTTTTTCTTATAAAATTCATCTGAAAAGACGGAAAGTACATATATTGGCAATTGCCAAGAATTGCGTAGAAAAAATTCCAAGTATTATGGTTGCTTACAGGAATGCGTCTTACCAGAATAATGTACAATTATTGTAGTCAGTAGTAGGTTGAAAGTGTGAGAGCACAGTAAAGATCACACAAGCTTATCAGCACCAAAGTAGTCTTATTTGATTGCAGAGCGATTCTCACGTTTCGGGGTAGTTTTGGCGTCTCTGATTTGCCGAAAGTGAGAAATATCCAATTACGTTTTTCTCATTATTGGGGTCCTGGATGATACTAGACTTACGGCAATGGTATTTATAGTAAAGACCTTGTACTATCTTCCTAAAAACATGAGCCATAAGGTATTCCCATACGTTTTAGTGGGTGTTTTGATCACGGAAATTACGTTATCACGGAAGTTACAAAGTGTGAAAATCAGCTTTAACGGCTGACTCGGGCTTGCTGTGGCTTAAAAGTCGTTCCAGGGTCAAATGATACTCTAAGCCCGACATTTAAGCGGAAAATTTTTTCACCTAGTGCTGCTGCAACATTGGGTAAAGGGTGCCACGGAAGTTACAGGTAATTGTTGATACACGCCATTTTATAATGCTCTAGCCCGCTTTGAGACCGTGTACAGCATCTTAGATTTCCGCGAACCATGCCATTATGGCCCAGGGACTCCACTTTGATGGCTTGTGTCATGGAAAGTTACAAGTTTGGCTTGGGGAGAAGTCCAGAGCTGCCTTTTCGAAATTTGTGTAGTGAAATTGAATATACGGAGGACATTTTTCGTTGCAGCATAAGTACCTTCGAAAGAAGTCTGGCGTATTGGTCTTCGGTTGAAATTAGCTCGAGACATGCCAAGCTTCGAATATCCATCGACAGTTGGCAGCATTTTCGAACCACACTGCCACACTGAGGGCGGAAAGTTCGAGTATGTTCTCTTTGGACAATCACGGAAGTTACATTTGGGGTATTCCAAACGCTACGTAGACCAATCCAACGAACGTGAACTTTTCGAAATGTGTGCGTTTAGTGGGCAATGGCCCTCCCTAACATCAGAAACAAACCCCATGTCGATATCTGCGCTCGTTTGGGCACAGGAGTCAGAAGAAACGAAACTACCCCGAAACGTGAGAATCGCTCTGCAACGTCATCTAAAAGTCTACAATCCACTGCAGGCGATGCTGGATTCCGGCGCACTGTCGGACGTGTCGTTCCTCGTGGGCGACGAGGAGGTGAAGGCGCACCGAGTGGTGCTGGGGGCGGCCAGCGACGTCTTCAAGGCCATGTTCGAGACGGACACGCAGGACAGTCGCACCGGCAGGATCCACGTCGAAGACTCTCAAGCAGACGCTTTCAGGGCAATGCTCAGGTCAGTGCTAAAGGCTAGTCCGTCGCCATCCCACAACGAAAACTCGTTGTCACTTTATGACAAACTCGTGGATGACATTTTCATGACTTGAAAATGATGACTGTTTCTTCACAACACGCTACATTTTACTTTTAAATACCGTATCCATGCACAGGCATAACAACCGTAAAAAGTTGTTCCGTGGCATCAGCGGCTCATTACATGATGGTTGCTAAAGCCTGTGCATTCGGCATGTGAAGTAAAATATGGGGTGTTCTGTTCTTCCCCTGTCCAGTTATTCCCTGCACTGACCCTGAGCTCCTATGATGCATTCTTTCTCAAACCAAATCAACTTTCCGGGTCAATGTGGAGTTTTGGCCTGCCAATTTTTTTTATCAAGAGGCCCTCACTAGGAGAGAATCCCTGTAAAATATTTTTGCAATCGGACCAATAGTTTGGGAGTAAATGACAAAAAACCATTTTCACTTATTTTAGCGCAATTTAAGGTTGAAAAATTTCAAAGTGTCAAAATGCTGCTAAATTAAGGTCCCACTTGCCTAATGCTTTTCTTATATGAAAGAGCATATTAAAAAGTAATTTTGAGCCACTTTGGAGTCAGCTGACTTTACGCGTTACCCCAATCGTGTAACATTATAGGAATTTTACGCAATTTTCATATCTCAAATACTTCGACTCAGAACTGGACCGAATCAGGCCCACAGCATCCTTATATAGCCCTAACTAATATCCCAAGTAGTCATCAAAAATATATTGCATTTGTGGATTCTGGAGCCAACTTTAAAATCTGAAGTCTTTGTAACTCGATGAATTAACGGTTTTGGACTCAAATGCATATTTTCTCCATCCGAACAACTCAGATGGGGCTCAAAACAGATTTTTAACTTAAAGGAACTTTCTCTCTTGTAAATGAGCCCAAACCAGCAGAAGGGAGGGGTCAAAATTGCCTCACAACAAAGTTGACTCTTTTCCGGCAAAATTCCTAAAATGTTACTCGATTAGGGAAACGCTTAAAGTCAGGTGCCTCCAATGTGGCTTTGACATAGCAAAAGAAGCATCAAAAATCTGTCTTTAGACAAAAGCAATGAAATGACCACCAGAAGAAAACAAGGTAATTCATCATTTCCAGCGTAAGGTCAACATCATTTCCAGCATAAGGTGAAGGGCCTGTCTCATTAGATAAACATTATTTTGTCTGGTGGTCATTTCATTGCTTTTGTCTAAAGACAGATTTTTGATGCTTCTTTTGCTATGTCACAGCCACATTGGAGGCACCTGACTTTAAGCGTTACCCTAATCGAGTAACATTTTAGGAATTTTGCCGGAAAAGAGTCAACTTTGTTGTGAGGCAATTTTGACCCCTCCCTTCTGCTGGTTTGGGCTCATTTACAAGAGAGAAAGTTCCTTTAAGTTAAGAATCTGTTTTGAGCCCCATCTGAGTTGTTCGGATGGAGAAAATATGCATTTGAGTCCAAAACCGTTAATTCATCGAGTTACAAAGACTTCAGATTATAAAGTTGGCTCCAGAATCCACAAATTAAATATATTTTGGATGACTACTTGGGATATAAGTTAGGGCTATATAAGGATGCTGTGGGCCTGATTCGGTCCCGTTCTGAGTCGAAGTATTTGAGATATGAAAATTGCGTAAAATTCCTATAATGTTACACGATTGGGGTAACGCGTAAAGTCAGCTGACTCCAAAGTGGCTCAAAATTACTTTTTAATATGCTCTTTCATATAAGAAAAGCATTGGGCAAGTGGGACCTTAATTTAGCAGCATTTTGACACTTAGAAATTTTTCAACCTTAAATTGCGCTAAAATAGGTGAAAATGGTTTTTTGTCATTTTCTCCCAAACTATTGGTCCGATTGCAAAAATATTTTACAGGGAGTCTCTCCTAGTGAGGGCTTCTTGATAAAGAAATTGGTAGGCCAAAACTCCACATTGACGCGGAAAGTTGATTTGGTATGAGAAAGAATGCATCCTATACTTTTTGCATGGGCGTGTCAACTATGTCATCAACTGGTTTTGTTGACTCTTGGAAGGAAAATGAGCCTTAAAATTTTCATCAGGCGACAACCTTAATTTTTACAGTGTTCTAACACAAAGATTTCAATCACAGAAACTTTCTGTGGAATAGTCTTACACTTTTGAATTTTTGACAGTTATTAAACTTCTGTTTTTCTTTGTACAAATTTCCATTTGCTTCATTCATTTAGTTAGTTTTCCTTGCAAACAGTTTTTTTTTCACCTGAATAATGATGAAAATTTAGTTGTTCCCCTATTTTGCTCCATGCATCAAATTTTGGTCGAAGTGAATAAATTACTATTTTATTCTGCAGGTGTCTGTACACCGGTGCGATGCCGGCCTGGACTGAAGAGGACGACGATTTCCTCATGGGTGTTCTCAACTTGGCAGAGAAATACAATCTCGGGCCGTTGCACGAGGAGTGCCAGCGCCGCATCCTTTGCACCATGTCGGTGGACAACGTAGTGGAGCGTCTCAAAGTAAGGAGTGGTGGTGGGGAATACCAGTTTGAAAAGTTTGTGATTCATTGATGCACTTCACTGTTATGCAAGGAATGTGACGTCACATCCGGACAGGATCCTGTCAGGACATCCTGTCCGGATGTGACGTCACATTCGTTGGAGCTTGAATTTTGCTTCGTTCGTTTGAGTATGATGTCACTGAAGCGTACTTTTACGTGTTTCCTCAAGCGAAGTGAAGCATGCAACTACGCTTCAGTTTTGCCGGTGAACGTCTTGAAATTTACAAGCAGTTTTTTGTGCGTAAGCCATGCGCGAAACACGTTTCATAGCATGAATTTGTGCGTAACAACGAACGAAATTGTGCGATGTTGCGCTTGCAGTTTCGTGCGTAGCGTGTGTACTAAAGACTTCATTGTACTTTAGTGTGCTGTGCGTGGGTGCATTTCACCCATATGCTTAATTCGGGGCAAAACTATGGATGGCAAAAAACGAAATAAAACATGGTAACTTAATGTTTGACACATTTGTTGAAGTTTGACGGACTCTTTTCTTGTTGCAGGCCGTGAATATCCTTAGCCCGTCCATGGTGCCCCTTTTGGCAGATCCCTTCGTGAGGAGCCATTTTTCGGAGATACTTTCGACTGAAGAATGGACTGCATTTATGAAAGATGATGTTCACTTGGCAGCACAAGTCATGTACAATGCGATGAAGAGATAAACGGAACACAATTGTTTTCCTTTTTTGTCTTCAGCGGCATTGGTCTCAGATTTGTTACCTACTCTCACTCTCATGATGAAGAAGTATTATGTGTTTTGTTTTCCGTTTAGTTGCTAATTTTCTCATCAGTGTGCCCTTATTTAAACCATTGTAATATCTATGAAGCCGATGTGCTTTTCTCCATTTGCTTTGGTTGCTTTTACCATGGCGGGCATCTAAGATCTTTTGTACTTACTTATACATATGAACCATTGTTATAGCCTTTTCGCCGATGTGCACTTTGCCACTTGTATCGAAAATCCATTGCATGTGTTCGTAAATGGTGAATAAATACGTACGTCTGACTTATAACTTTTTTTTTGAACAAATATTATATAGGTCCTTAAAATTGTCTCAATATGGAACTTTTTATGTTGAAGACAGCAATTGTACAATTTTGCAAAGACGCATCTCAATGGGTCTCCCGGGGTGTTTGAATGGGTGGGAGGGACTTTGTAATTTTCCTTCCATCACGCGATTGTCTAGGGCTTAAAGGGGAAGGATGTAATTTTTAGAATCAATTTAAAGCATGTAAGTACGTGCTTAGGACAATTTTTTTTTCTGGTGAGCAACCACACTCTAAATGTCTTACAATGAAATTTGACCTATGTTATTCGTATGTTACAGTGAATTCGGCGCAAGCATAATACGAAGCAATATTCCTTCGTAATACGAATCTTTTTATCTTTTTCATTGTAAGATACAAAGAAAAACCTTCGTAATACGAAGAAAAACCACCTTCGTATTATGCTTGCGCCATTTCCTTCGTATTATGGGAAATTTCTTCGTAAGACATTTAGAGTGCAATAGAATCATGACCCCTCCTAAGAAAATCATCCTCACTCGCCAGGGTGCTAGGAGACCATCCTAACTCGCCCGGGAGGTGAAAAACTATCGTAACTTCATAGGATTTCTGTAGGAGTTCATATAGTCTCCTCGCCCGGGCGCTGGGGTACTATATTAACTCTTACACACCTACACAAATCCTACCAAGTTACGATGGTCTCCCAGCGCCCGGGCGTGTTAGGATGGTTTTCTTTCGAGGGGTCGAAATAGGCCCCGACATTTGGAATATACGTCAACAAAGTTTGTGACTTTAAGAGTCTACAATCTACTTCACTCTCAGACATGAACTTTATTCTCTCTTGCTTACAGCGTTTTTTGAGCAAACGTACAGTGTACTATTTTCTCTTTAACTATGCACAATTTTTATCGTTTTAAAGATAAAATTGTCAATAGATCATGCAGAAATTGAAAAGTACATTGCAAATAACAAAGTCAGATTTAATGGACTAAATACATTGTACAATAAACAAAAGAGTGCATACCCAAGAGGGAATACAATACATATTACGTTTGAACAAAAAACGTTTTGGCAAGAGATATAAAGTCAACACGGGACTGAGAGTGTTTGTGAATTATCAGCCTTGTAGACGTCGGCGAAATCAATAATTTGAATAAGAATGTGAATTGAACATGCACATGGACGTTGGACGTTGCGTAGTCAGCAGGTGGAGTCTTGTTTCCTTGTTTAAATAATGGAGCACTTTCTGTCAAGATCGATTGTTATCTTCGTCAAAAATGATACATCATTATTGCAGAATGTTGTGCGGGAACGAATCTTCACCTCACCCGGCCACTGAACCCTGCTTCACTTTTGGCGTGATGTTCACCGTGAGTCGTATGCACATGACGCACGCGTCGCTGCCGTCGTAGACCAGGCCGTCCAGACGCCACCTCCCGTAGAACATGACTGGGAAGTTGGAGGGCGTGATGCTTCTGCTGTTCATATTCTGTATGCTGTAGGTGCCCTGCAACCAGCCCGCAGCCCGCACTCTTAGTTCCGTGGTCTCGACAAATTTTGCGCAAACGTGCTCTTCGTGTAATTTTTACGAGAAAGTTCGCATGTTAAAAATTGTATGAGAGCACGTACAAAATCGTACAATTGCGGTGAGCTATGTCCTATACCGCGTTTCGCAACCCTGCAAACCCAATTGTGTTCGAAGCGAGGGGGTACTCACTCAGTTTTTTCGGGTACACAAAATATGAATATGCGTAAATACTTGTGAATACTTCTGAATACTAAGAATCGTGAATATCTCCGCACTGTGGGAAAAAATCACAGTAAATCCTGTAGTGATTAGTACAGCGGTCACTGTAGTTCAGAGTACAGGATCTACTGTACTTTTGTAACAGGATCTACTGTACTTTCTACGGGATTTACTGTACCACAGGAGTGGAGTACGGAATATCCTGTACCAGGTACAGTAGATACTGTAGCCAGGCACGGTAAATCCTGTGTTCTGAACTACAGTAAATCCCGGCAAAAAAATTAACGGGATTCACTGTGGTTTTTTCGCACAGTGCGAATACAAGAAAACTACGAATATGGAAAGAATATGAATGAATATTTGGGAATATTTGCAAATGCCCTAGAATATGTGTGAATACTTGAGAATATATGTGAATATGTAAGTTAAAGAGTAGAGGTTTTCGGCTAGCCGCGAACCAGGATTCTTCTCGGATCTCATTTTGTCAGTAAGAAACGTCCAAATATGGACCCGAGAGTGATACCAGAAGCTCTCGCGCCGAATTTCGGACAAAAGAACGACGAAATAATGTCAACAAGTATTTAAATACCTCTGAATACTAGGGAATATCTGTGAATACTAAGTGAATACCCGTGAATACTCACGAATACTTCGAAATATTCTGAATATGTGTGAATATGGAGAATACTTGTGAATACATGAATATTAATGAATATTCAAGAATATGAATATCCTAGTGGGTACACAGAATACCTCGAGTGAATACCCCGTTTCGAAGTAGCATGCTTTACACCCATAAGGTAGGAGGGACTGGCGGCCAAAACTCGAGAAGCGTGTTGAGGTCCAAAGTCAGTAAGCAAGACTCGATCCGGGCGTGTGACCTCACCAACCAATGGATTCCTTGTTCGGAGAGCAACCCTTTGGTGGGGGTGACCCGTTCGGTCCGAGTCCCATGTAGCGACTCTGGAGCAGGGTTGTTAACGTTAATTTCAGATTTAACGCGTTAACGTTAATGCGTTAGTCCGGGTGCATTAACTTAACGCGTTAACGTTAACTCGAATTTGAGAATTTAACGCGTTAACGTTAAATTAACGCAAGTAACGCCGTTATCGTTAAACTTTAAAACCCAACCAGAGAGGGTTGAGATAACGCCACCAAAACGTTGAAACAAACGTTCATCACCCATAAAAGAATTAAAGAACCATAAACACAAATATTAAACTAGTTTAAAAAAGCTTTTGCTTCTCTAGCACATATATTTTTTCGGAAATTTACCTGGACCGATCGTGCATTAATCCCTACGTTAACGCATTAACGGCGTTACGCGTTAAGAGAGTCCTTAACTTAACGCGTTTAACGTTTAATGGCCCAGACATATTTTAACGAGTTAACGTTAACGTTAATTAACGATTAACGCCGTTACCGTAACGCCGTTAATCGTTAAATTAACGTTAACAACCCTGCTCTGGAGCTTCAAATGCGTCCGGGATTCTGACCGCCGCCACCGTCTTCTGGCCCACCATGGTGTGGCCTGAATATGTTTCCTTGCAAGGAACATGATATGTCAGTGAAGGCACGGGCGCTGCACTGCAAGAAAAAAAACCACAACGAAAGTACACAAATTACTGCCAAATTTTTTTTTCTCGGGAATATATTGTAATTTCAAAGTACAACAATTGTACAAAATGAACCGGGGACAGGGATCCTTAACTTACCTCATAAGGGCATCATAACGTTATCATAAGAGTTAAAGTTACTACCCTTAACTTCTAACATCTTTTCAAAAGGGTAGGTTATTTTTTTTATGTCTCGAATTTGTGTGGATATACTTCTGCAAGTACTTTCATAAGTCCGTACCCTTAACCTTTAGCGAACATTGTTTTATGTTACGTTATGAAAGCAGTGTTAGTTAAATATTAAGTTAAGTTAAGGATCCCTGGCTGGGGAGTCCAGGCCTCGTGTGGTTTGTAATTCTCGTTGTTGGCTGAGCGCTGGCGAAGCCTGTTACTCCAGTGGGGTTGAAAAGCTTTTCATGTCTGTCTGTCTGTGTGTGTGTCTGTGTGCACTACTCCTCCTGAACGGCTCGGCCGATCTCGGTGAGATTTTGCACACTTTTTGGGCATGTCCTTGGCTCGGCACACGCAAAATTTCGCTACCCTTGGTCAACTGGTTCAGTTTTTAAAGCCGAAAAATACTTAAGAAACAGCGAAAAATCAAGTTTTCTGCAGGCAGATCACTTCTGTCCTGAAGAAAACGGGGTCTGTGGGGCAGGCCCCCCCAGCATCGACAGGTTAAAAAGTTACAAGGGTCAAGATCGTGTTACATATAGATGAAGCAACTCTATCTAGGATGAAGGGGGGGTCTGGGGGACGGAGCATGCAACAAGTTTGGAGTAACCGACGATGGACAAGCCATTGCCTGCCGAAGGCAGGCTAGCGCCTCAGGCCAAGGTAGGGACGCCAGGTGCGGATTGGAGGAACAGGCAGCGAGACATCGCGAAGCCTGCTACGACAAGACGCGGTCTGGCGTATACCTACCTTGTTCTTTATACAATCACTGAGATTTCAATCGCTATGAGTATAGCACGTGTGGTGCGATGCAGCTGAGATATCGCACCATACGTGCAATGCGAAAGCCATATTGCACCTTACGTGTGATGCGTCCCGAAAATGCCCTATGCTAATGCATGGGAATGAGGATAGGCCTGGGCGATTATTGGTTGTAATCGTAATCGGCCGATGAATAAAATAATCGCGATTGGTGTCGATTAGCAGTTCGGTAATCGGTAATCGAAAACGTACACGATTAATCGAAAATCAACGATTAATCGGGGGAAACCGATTATTTGGAAATTGACAAACAAAGGTTAATACTCGTACTATTGTGAAAATAGCATTTAATAAGAGGATAGGAAAACCATTGGCGCAACCTCGAGTGTCTGAGACAGCTTTTTCGTGCCTTAACTGAAAACTTTTCAAGACTTTTCCACTCAGAATTTGAACAGGTGATGGAAAGAACATCCGATAATGAGACGATTAATCGATAATCGATCATCGTTAAATAATCGGACAATCCTTCGATTACCGAACCACTAATCGGGGGTTTGAAATAATCGGACGATTAACAAAATAATCGCGATTATTTTCGATTATTCGATTAATCGCCCAGGCCTAAATGAGGAGGTATTGCACTTCATGTGCGACGCTTTTGCATCCATTGACGCTTTACACATAGCGTTTGGATTCTCAGTGAATCCTTGTTGTACTTTATTGTACAGTTTTTGTTGTACTTTTGTTGCACTATTCACACTTTTTCTTGCAGTATGGGAGTCAGGTCCTCACCGTGCGGATGGGGCAGTCCTCCTGGAGGGGGCCGTCGGGCCCGATGGTGTGGTTCAGGACGTGCCTCCACACGCCCGGCAGGTAGGTGCGCATCGTCGTGCACACGCGCCGGAACCTCATCACGATGGCGTTCTCCTTCCAGCCGCCGCGGGAGCTCCAGGACGCGAACACGAACCTGCTCTGCAACGAGCAACGGGGCGCGGAAAGATTGCGTCATCGCCGGGGGGAAGCACCAAAACCTTACGAAGTGTTTTGAGCATACATAGTACAAACCAATTTACTTTTTTATACGAAGAAATACTTCGTAAATTACAGAATATTTTCTTTGTAATCTTATGTATGCTCGAAATACTTTTGTTAGACTGATTTTTCTTTGTAAGGCCTAGGTCTAAAATAGTTTGTAAAGTTGTCTCAGTGTACAGTGTACAGCATGCGAGTCAAGTTGACGAATGTGACGGTATATTTTCTAAGTATGAAATTTGTTCTGTTCGAACGTTTGTCCGCGCAGCGGGTGGCAACTGATTTTCCAAAACGTGCGTGCGGACATAATGTTTTTTGACAAATATCTTCCAAACTAAGCAAGCTAGGAATAAACTACTTACATTTTTTAAATAAGAACAAATTTTGACAGGAATTAAGGTTTTTTTTTGGACGATTGATCAATAATCACCAAGGTTGTTTCGCAGCCCAAAGGCACATTTGTTGCAAAATGTGGTCCTGATCCAGGTTTGGCATTGTTGCGGTTTGCTCAAAATCACTTATTTGGAAACGTGTTCGTGGGCGGACGGAGAGTCGAGTCAGAAATCCGAAACCAGATTCGGAATCCTCACGACTTCTGCCATGGTTTTGGCTCGGTTTTGGCACCATGGACATCTTAAGGTCAGATTAAGTCATGATACACGGGGGCAAATTTCGGTCGCTTTCGTATTTTCAACAAACATTTTCGCGCCTCAACCATTTAGGGACCTTTGATGGAGTGGAGACCTACTCCATCTACACAGCCTTTACATTGGCGAATTTTCTGAGGCCTCAGATTTGTAATACGACTCTCCGTACGCTCGCATCAACGTTTGCAAGATCAGCATGTTACACGATGAGACATGGGATTTCAGGGCCTTTTTGGCTGAGCGATAGCGAAGCCTGTTACTCCAGTGGGGTTGAAATTTTTTTCCTGTCTGTCTGTCTGTCCCCCCAGTAGTTTGTAAAGTTGTCTCAGTGTACAGTGTACAGCATGCGAGTCTTTTTTTTACAAGTGGTATAAAAGGTATTGGGTGGGGGTCGGGTGGGGGGCAATGAGAGATCCCCCGAGACAGCTAACAACAGCGACCTGCTGAGCTGGCCACTGCTTTACTTGAACTACCTAGCGATACCCCGTGCCCACGGAACAAAATATAGTCCCTCTGGAGGCTAAAACCTATTTCCAAGGCCGTTTCAGCTGCGTAATAGCCTTGTAATTGGCTGAGCGATAGCGAAGCCTGTTACTCCAGTGGGGTTGAAAAGTTTTTCATGTCTGTCTGTCTGTCTGTCTGTCTGTCTGTCTGTGTGCACTACTCCTCCTGAACGGCTTAGCCGATCTCGGTGAGATTTTGCACACTTCTTGGGTATGTCCTTGGGCTCGGCACACGCGAAATTTCACCATCCTAGCTCTACTGGTTCAGTTTTTATAGCCGAAAAACACCTAAAAAACGGCGAAAAATAGAGCTTTCTGCAGAAAGATCACTTCCGGCTTGGAGAAAGGGGGGTCTGGGGGGCGGAGCCCCCCAGCCCCGACAAGTTAAAAAGTGACAAGGGTCAAGATCGTGTTATCTATAGATAAAACAACTCTTTTTAGAATGTAGGGGGGTCTGGAGGGCGGAGCCCCCCACCATTTCAACAAGTTAAAAAATAACCGACAATGGACAAGCCATTGCCTGCCGCAGGCAGGCTAGCGCCGCAGGCCAAGGTAGGTACGCCAGGCGTGGATTGGAGGAACAGGCAGCGAGACATCGCGAAGCCTGTTACGACAAGGCGCGGTCTGGCGTAAACCTACCTTGTAGTAGTGTAATAGCTGTAACTGATAGGTAATACCTGTGTAATTGCGTAATAGGTTCGAAATGGGCGTAATGATTAGTTGCTGTAATTGCTACAATTACTGTAATTGCACTGTAATGGTACTGTAATAGCAGAAATATCGATGTAATATCTGTAATTTGCGTAATAGGTGTAATTGTCTGTAATGATTCAAAATGTAATAGTCGGTCAACCATTTTCATGAGTGATTTCCCCCTTGGAACTTAAAGATCTGAATCAGGAATTAGAATCTGCTTTTCACGTGGATAAGGCTGATGAAGTTATGCAGAAACTTAAAAATAAGCAAGAGGAGGATCTTTAGGTCATGGAAAATAAGGTAAGGGCTTGCTCTTGCTCCTTAACTCTTAGTGCATTTTTAATGGTATCTTTCTAAGAAAATGTAATCTGTTTAGAAACGGGAACAAGAAATGGATATCAGATTGCTGACTCAAACAAATGAGATATTCAACAGGTCGAGGGGTCTCAAAATATCAGAAAAAGTTTTTAAAATCGAATGATATCGAATGTAATCTACTTCCGGTTGTCCTCTGCTTGACTGTCGATTGTATCGAACTTCAAACTTCAATCTCTGCCTTGTAATCTTTAAAAGT